GGTCTACAACCGCGCTGGCGGGCCAGCGCCCCCTGGTATCGCCGAGCTCGGAGCGGGCGTGTGGCGCGGGGATGCGCGTGAGACCGAGCGCGGGTTCGTCGCGTTAGGCACTCCCATAGGCCACCCGAGCTTCGTCGCCGCCCACACCGATGCGCGCCTGCTCGAAGAGGGGCGGCTGCTGCATGAGCTCCCTACCTAAGTAGCCCCGAAGTTATGTTGACTTATAAGTCCATATAACTCCACATAAGTCCACCTAACTCAACATAACTCAACATAACTCCAGAAGTCCAAATAACTTCGACCCTTTTTAAAGGAAGTTATGTTGAGTTATCTTGAGACCGGCTGACGACGAAAAAAGTTATTTGGAGTTATTTGGAGTTGTGTATTTTCGTTGTTTCAAAGCAGTTTAAAGTTATTTGGAGTTATTTTTATAACATTTATGAACTTTTTGCTGCATTACATAGTTTTGGCTCAAGCAAAGCGTTTTTCACGTGCGACATCCAAGATGTCGCAAGTCTTGAATCACTTGAAGGCAGCTCAAGGCTTCCTACGGCAGACGATGGCACTGCCGAATTTTGCACTTCTGCAGGGACAGCAGGGTCGTGTGCTTGAAACCTTGCTCGGCAAGAGCTCGTCGATGTCGACAGAGGTCGCGAGCCAGATTCTAGCAGAGCTGGACGATGCGTGCTGGGGTATGGAGACCGCGGGGAGGATGAAGGAGATGGTTTCAAATATGGTCCAGGTAAAGACCGTTCCGGCCGCGACTGCTGCACGGAAGACTTTGCAAGACTTTACGAACTTCCCGCTGTACATGACGGAAGATCAGTTATATATATATATATATATATATATAGACACTATATATATATATAGACATGTATACTTTCTCTCTCTCTCTCTCTCTCTCTCTCTCTATATATATATATGCATTTACATCGCGAAAGCCGCAGAATCCCCAACCGTGTGGCACAGGTTGGGCTCGGCAGAGATGGCGAAGCAATGGTTTTCTCGCGGTGAGCTTTGTGCACTGCAGCAGTCTCTGCTGCAGAGTTCGCTTCCCCCTCCTGTGGATTGGCTGGACTTTGAGGCGGAGGCGGTGCGAGAAGCACTCTACTGGGCGATGAAGAGTGCTGCTGTGAATCGCGACAAGTTCGCTCGCGTCATAGCAGCACTGTGTCTCTTAAGATTCCAGTGGGAGGACCTTCTTAAGGAAACCGGAGCGGATCATGGCCAAATGTACAACGGATACAGCTATGTGCCGGCAGAGCCTGAGTATCCGCGGCTCACAGAGCAGAAGCGGGTCAGGGCGCTCACGGCAGAGTGGAGCCACAGCCGAGTCGACCGGCAGGTTCGCGAGTTGCGACATGCTCTGAGAATTATACCCGCTTATTTCGGTTCCAACTTGAACCGAGAGTGGGAGAGCTACTTCGGAGCTGCTGCGGAGCAGCTTCAGTGCACGATGATGCTGCTGGAAATCGTGCACAACAGAGACTATAGACTGCTTGAAGGCCTCGAAATGGAGGAGTAGAGGTAGTGCTCCTGCTAGCTCTCCGGAGAGACTCCTTCTGCTGATCTTGGCCTTGCAAAACGTCCGGCCGGAAGCGTAGGTGAACGTAGGTGTTTGTAGGTGGTCACTCTGGGCCACCTGGCTAGGCAGGTGGCGTAGGTGGCGTAGGTGGTCTAATTTCCTTACCTTTCCATGGATCTGGAGGCGTAGGTGGTGTAGGTGGCCTGTTTTCCTTACTTTTCAGGTCGGGCCAGGCGTAGGTGGTGCAGGTGGCGACCCTGGCTGAGGCCTTTTTCATGGGGGCCTGGCGTAGGTGATTGTAGGTGGTACTCTGCGGCTAAGCTGCTGGCAGGAGCTTTCCTGGAATCGCTGCTGTTGGTGCGGCTGGACTTTTTGCTTCCGCACTGAAACAGTGGCACTAATGCAAAGCAAACTGGACAAATTACGCCAACAGCTCCGCAAGCTTAGCAACGCATCCAAAGTCTTTAAGAAAGACTTGGGAGCATGTCTCGGCTTGCTCAACTGGGCCACCACCTTAAGCCCTCACATGCGCTCCTTCATGTCCTGCTTGTACAAGGATCTGCACAGCAGTGCAGGCACGTTGCATAGCATTGCCCCACAGGCGTGGGCCGCCTTCTACGACTGCCTAGACACTACTGCCAAGCTAGCCTCCACGCCCTTAGGTTCCTGGCTGCCTCGCAATGCACAACTGCTAGAGGTTGGAGCAATCAAAATACACTCCAAGTCGGACGTGCCCCGCGTACCGCCCTCTCATAAACACCAGTGGGTTCGACTTGCAGATCCCAACCGCACCAAAATTCACCTCAAGCAAGATAGCAAATTCTGCCTTGCTTGGCTGGAGCTCTGCTTCAAACACGAGCAACCCCGTAGCCTCCGCACTCCTCCTGTCGCACCCTGCATGAGCGCGGCAGACGCATTCGCAGATACCGACCGAATGGGCATCGGCGGTTGGCTCAGCACGTCCTCGCACTTTGTCTGGTACAGTGAAGTCTTCACAGCTGATGAAGTCCGCGCCGTGTGGCCCCAGCTACACGGCTCCATGCAAAGCTACATCGCCTGCTTCGAAGCCTTGGCACAGCTTGCTTTGGCTCACTGCTCTTGGGCCCTGCTCCGCCATAAGCACACACGTTTTGTCTTGCCCAGCGCCAGCGACAACACCTCTGCTGAAAGCGGGGTAAACCGCCTTTTCACTACGGCGGAGCCGTTGAGCACTTTCCTGCGTCTAGCTGCTACATGGGCCCACCTGCACCGCGTACAGTTCCAGGTCGAACACCTTGCTGGTGAAAAGAATACTTGGGCTGACGCTCTCAGCCGAGGCCGCCTTGCCTTCATCAAGCATCGCTCCCGCGAAAGGACACGCATTGGCCTTGCACAGCTCGCCTCTGCTTCGCACACCGTTTCACTCCGAGGGGAGGAGAACACCTTCCTCCCTCGCCTCTGCGAGGCCCAGCGCAGCCTCCTGCGCTAACCTTCTCGTGCAAACGAGGTCGAAAACAAGCAAAGCTCTGCATCGGAACTTTGCTTCACGGCAAGCGCGCTACTGCTTCTGATCTTGTCCGTCTCGGCAGGTCTCCTTCTCCATCCTCATGCGAGGGGGGTTTACTGAGCCCGCAGGGCAGAGGATGCTGAAGTCGAGCTAAAGTGGGGGAGACAAGCTCGGCAACGCTTTGCCCTTCCTTACTTCGGGCATCGCATTGCCTCGCACCGACTTCAAGCATCCTCCGCGAGTAAAAAGAGAGCACTGTCTCGTCTTTGCAGTCTAACGCGTCTTGTAAACTCACAGTACTCTTACTGAGAACGCATGTCGTGAGTTTGTTGTTTTGGTCGACAGTGTTTTCGGTAAGTACTTGAGCTTGCATTGCTTCGCCCCGCGCTGCACTGTTAGCTCAAGCTGTCGACCCGGATCGCCTTCCGCTAGCAACTTTTTAACCCACCCGCCCAACCCTGGGGGAGACAAGCTCGGCAACGCTTTGCCCTGCACTTCCTTACTTCGAGCATCGAATTGCCTCGCATCGACTTCAAGCATCCTCCGCGAGTAAAAAGAGAGCACTGTCTCGTCGTTGCAGTCTAACGCGTCTCGTAAAGTCACAGTACTCTTACTGAGAACGCATGTCGTGAGTTTGTTGTTTTGGTCGACAGTGTTTTCGGTAAGTACTTGAGCTTGCATTGCTTCGCCCCGCGCTGCACTGTTAGCTCAAGCTGTCGACCCGGATCGCCTTCCGCTAGCAACTTTTTAACCCACCCGCCCAACCCTGGGGGAGACAAGCTCGGCAACGCTTTGCCCTGCACTTCCTTACTTCGGGCATCGCATTGCCTCGCACCGACTTCAAGCATCCTCCGCGAGTAAAAAGAGAGCGCTGTCTCGTCTTTGCAGTCTAACGCGTCTTGTAAACTCACAGTACTCTTACTGAGAACCAGATGGTTCGGCGCCATCAAAGGTATCACTGAGAAGCAAAAGACCCAAGTAAAGCAGTACTTGGATCTCGTAGCCACAGAGTTCCCAAATCTTACTGACTCACAGCAACAAACACTGCATACAGCTGCTGTCGCTTGGGGAATCCCACACCAGGCCATCGACAAGTTCGCATCACCAGCACTCGTAAAACTAGTTGCCATCATCAGCAAGATGACGGAGTGACTACGGCAGCACCTCCAACAGCATCAACAATCTACCAACAACACCACCTACTCTACAACATCTGCATACAATGCCCAACCATTTACACACAAACAGTTCCGATCCATCATCAGCATCCTGGACAAAGCCAGATCCATTTTACAAACACTAGCACCAACAGCAGAACATATTTCTGGACCACCGCTGGAGTGGCATACTGTCTGTTGCTGCCCAGCGAGCTTTCGCCGCCTCACTCCTGGAGCTCCCTGCGGCTGCAGAGCTTGGTGCTGCTGGCGATCCGCCTGCCCTACACGAGCTCCTCGCCGACGCCCGCTGGCTGCAGGCGCCCGCCAACAGCCGCCTGCCAGCGCGTCCAGCTTGAGCACCCCCCGTCCAATGCCCTGTAGTCGGACCTGGACTCCTCATGCGCAGTCGCAAAAAGGTGCGCAAAAAAAAAAAAAAAACTATATCGGATCACTCTGTGGCTCCAAGGCCTAGCATTGCTTTTACGCGTACAGCATTTCCACTTCAAGCATGAGGCTGGACACTATGCAGCTCCTCAACGCTTTTTTCTACACTCTGACGTTTCGTTTCACAATTATACACTTTCGTTTTTCAGACAGCCACAGGTTGTCTATTGCCGTATCACCACAAAACAACATCATCAACGCTACATCTACATTGGAAGCACCAGCCACACTATGACACAACGAGAAAGTACACGCAACCGCAAATTCAAGCAACTTAAGATCACTTCCCAAACCGACTCACGTGGTACTGCCCCACATTGTACCACAGTGCCATCCACAACACATTTTTGGACAAGGAGATCTTCAAGATCGCCGGTGATCCGCAATGCGAAGTGCGCTACTTCGAGTCTAAGTCTTTTCTGGCTCGCCGAACATGCGTCCACTTCAAGCTGCCCTGCTTGTCCGAAGCTCCTAGCGTTTACTAGCTTGCTATAAGACGAATATAATGTTACGATCATATCTCCATGTAATGTCAATATTTTATCCACAACAAATCCCCTGCTGCCATTTCCAGTTCTCTGCCGACCTCAAAGAGGTACTTGGCCTTTGCGGAGGCTGTTCTTCGGAAGCGCTTTGCCATCTGATGAATGCCATCCCACTGGGACACGTCCATTTGTAAGGCTGTCTAAGGAAATTCTTAAATCAGGTTCAATCACCAATCCAGGACCCTTTTCCCATTGTCCTGGTCTTGCTCGCTCTCTTGCTATTCTGCCCGTCGCCATGGAAGAAGCTAGCACACTGCTGTCCACGATCGAGTCTCGGCTTAGCCGCAGGTTGGCCTGACTATTTTAATTGGATTTAGTGGAATGGTAATTTCATCATAAACCCAGGTGTAGGAATATAATATAATGTTAGAAATACTAACAAGGACAAGCTACAAGGTGAAGCTTTGATTGAAGTTGTATATACGAGGTGCAGGATATCTATCCATCGCCCAGCATGTCTCAACCGTTCAGGTTGCAAGCTCGGCTTCTTAGGACCTTGATGATTACACCATCAAGGAAGTCCAGAATGGCTGGGAGACGACTGCGACTTTGCATGGCTTACGGAACTCGGTGTCCTCCGGAGCTCTCAGTGTAAGGCTTCGGATGAAAATCAAGAAACTCTCGTGATGAGACTGAAACGAAGCGCAGTAGGGGGGGCTCCGAACGATACAACAACGAGATGTGAAGACATTCTGCGCAAGGCTGATCCGGGGTGCGAGTTCCCATGGCTCAAAGCCTTCTCTGTGAAATCGCTGGAGAAGAGGCTCCCCGGTCCCCAAGCAAACTTGAGTGTCTTAAGGAGAAGCGGCTCGGAGGGCCCAAGATGGCGGGCGAGGAGGTCTTCGGCAAACTGAAGGCCGAGTTGCCCAGAACCGGGGGCATGCTGATGCTGGGCACAGAATGGTCTTTTGGTGAACCGCATCTTGAATACATGCCTCTCCGAGATTTCCAGCTCCAGAACTGACCAAGGAAGCGATCTAGCACGGTATGGCACCTGCTGAACGAGCAGCTTGGTGACTGGCGGGGTTTATGTGGCACTTCTGGTGATTTTCAAGTTTGTTTCATAGAGTGGATGTACATGGAGTCCTGCGTTTCTGTGTGCGACCTGCTTGTTGAGATTCTGCACTGGCACCCACATGATAGGATGTTGTCCAGGGAGTATCTTGAGCGTGGCTCGACGCAGTTCCATGATTGCCACCGCGTTGAAGTATGGGCTGTCCGACGACGCACATCAGCCGAATAGCCGAAACCCCTAAACCCTTAAACCCTATCACACCTCCGATAGCAGCACGGATGGTCATCCGAGGTTGCTGCAATCCTTGAGCGATCCCAAGGTGGTCCAAAAGAAGTTGGAGTACATCGCCCTGCCCCGTGGGCTTTCAAGTTTAGGGTTCAGGGTTTAGGGGTGTAGGGTTTAGGGTTTGTCGGTTTGAAGGCTGAGGGATTCGAATGGGACTATAGTACTACCGGTACTACCGGTGAGGTGGCTGGAGTCCTGAGTCTAGAGTCTTAAAGGTCAGGGCAGATGTCGATGAAAGTGGTCTGTTCGTAAAGATGCATGCATAGCTGTTGTTGCATCTGTTTTTCATAGTGTCGGTCTTGATACATTTAGGTGTAGGTGAGTTGACGGAGGGTTCGTGAACTGGTTGTGGACCCTTTGGAAAACCAACACTTCGCCACTGCTTCAACTTATCAATTATCGTCCATCCTGTTGCGTGGGGCTCGGAATGGCGACTTCGGATAGCACATAGTGCGGTCAATAAGGACAGCCATAAGGATAGCAATAATTCGCATACAATAATCATCAAAGCACAAACAGTTACCGCAGAACTCATAGCACTCATATAGCTCGCAGTGATGATAGTTGGCAGACCCCCAATTGCTTCAACATGTTTTTCGGCTGGCTTCAAAGCTTCCAGGTCGTTCCTGTTGTTCCAAAACAGGCCAGCGCTGCCCAAGTCCAAACACAGTGCTAGCGACGCTAGGCAGCTAAAGGTTTGCCGCTCCAAAAGCTCCAATCATCTACCCGAATTTGCGTTACCTCACTGGTATCACTGAGATGGGAAGATCCGCTGAGGCGCCATATGAATGCAGACATCACTACAGCCGATGTGGAGGTTCACGCTGGAAGTGGCGACCGTAGCCTTCGATTCAGTTCTGCATCGGCTTTAAGTTTTGGGGTCTATGTTGTATTGCAAGCTTCCATTGGGGATGGGTCGTGATGTTTAGTCACTCTGCTTGAGACGAACCCTTGCTGCAAGCGAGAAGAGAAGGCGTTTGAGGTCTGAAGCCCTAACAGGTGTTCAAAGGCATCCTCCTCGAAGTCTGTGCCTCGAAGTTGGGAGGGCTCATGACCCCTGAGTTTCAGCTGCTGGGCGTCTTTAGCAGCCGGGTTAGGCTTTCCGGATTGGCTGGTTGGACGATGGGGGAAGCGATGTCCGACGTAGCATTGATTTTGCCCATGGCGTCCAGAGCCGCCTTTAGATTTGACATGTGTTCGCATCTTTACCCTCAGACGCGAAGGTTCGGCCTTGGCTAGATCATCGTTGCAGTGGGTACGTCGCTGGCGAAAACACACGAGTTCCTGGGCGCGTAGAAGCCATGATGAGGCCGTTCGTCTCCCTAAGCGATGTGACACGTGGCCGTCAGAGCCACTTCTCCTCGAAATCTCTGACTGAAGCCCCCAAACCCTAAACCATCCCTAAACCCCTAAACCAGAGGCACCATGCGCAGCGCCTGAAGCTTCTGACAGGCTGCTGGAAGGAGGCTCGGCCTGCCTGAAACAGCAGATCCCGAATCCCAGAGGTACAGATGTCCCAAAGGTGGAATGTTGATATGATGATTCAAATAAATTCCTTGAAATAGGTATGTATAATATCCATAAGATATCGTATCTTGCACAGCAGAGATCGATGTGTGGGGCTTCTGAAGAAATGCGACAACACCGACTGGAGATTACCGTTTGTTTTCACTGAATGTGGAGGTAGCGACAATGCATTTTATCGTCTAGAGATTCCGGTGATGTCGAACAGGTAAACGTCACTGAGGACGATGAGGCCCGGTATTGAGTTGTGACTTGTGCTTCAGCGGCCACGCCGCTGCAAGGATCGTCTGTGTGAATATTCAGACTCAAGCACACCCAGGCTGAGGTTAGCTAGAATAGCTCCTTTGGTCCAGCAGCGGTTGCTTGGGAGGGCCGGCAGGCTGGTAGCTGGCTGCAAGTCGTAGACGAATCTTTTCAGCAAAGCCACAGTTTGTGTCCGGTCGGCTCAGGACTTGTTTTGATTCGTTCACCATCCAGCCCCCCGCCGTTCAACTCCCCGGTCGCATCACCCACCTCGGTCCGTCAGTCCAGCATTCCCAACTGCAAGCAAGAAGTCTTTGCTGCATCCAGCGCCAGGCCGATGGGAACGCAGAGGATTACTTGCAGACACTCTGTAGACAGGTGTTGTTGGCCTTCCAATTCATTCCTGGATCGGGTGCATGCGATCGGTTGTAGACGTCAGCTGGTTTGTCAGAGGGCGACTTGAGGTTGTCATGATGGTAGCTTGACCAGGTACAGTGTTTTTGCCACCTGAAATTGTGAGAAACCCTAAGCCCCTAAGCCCTAAACTCTAAACCTTGTGAGGAGCAGCACGAGCACGCCGAAGGCCACGGAGAAGGCCACGAGGACCATCGGGGAACTTGCGCGAAGACAGGAGAGTGCCCTAAGGGTAGGCTCGAACGAGAACAGAAGGTGCTCACGATTCCAGGATGCAGGAAGCGGGGTAGGACAGAACGTACTCGTATATCAGAGGAGGCAGAGGCATCGTTAAGGCCGTCGCCTCTCCCACTCGCAAGCAGTTTTCGGTATCTACCACATATCAAGGCAGGCAAAAGCCCTGCCATCATCAGTCAGATTACCCAGGCAGGGCCCGAACAGGGCCACCGGGCCATTGCAAAAGCCCAGTCTGACAACTTTTGATCTCCGACTGCCGCACCCAAGTCTAAGTCTAACCACGACGCGGTCACAAAGTTTAGTACACAAACCAGGCCGACCACAAATCGCTGTGAGAAATCCGTATGCTGCCCAATGCACAGGACGCGCAGCAAGACCAATCAGATGTCTACACAGACATATGCGATCTTTTACCTGCCTACACATGGGCCTTCCCACAATGGGGACGCATCCCACGCGCTTACATTTTACCCAAGCGCAAAAAACAGTTCGCAAAAGGCCGCCCGATAGTGGCCTTCATTGACACCATGGGCAGAAAACTTTGGGAAGCATTGGCTGATGTCCTACAGTTGATGACGCACCAAGCATGTCCTGATTCATTTCATCAGGGCGATGGCATCACCCAACTCAAGCAAACAGCACTCTTTTTACAACAAACACAAAAGACGCCAGATACAACAGAATACGTCCTGTACAATCAGGACTTGGCGGGCTTCTTCACATCAGTGGATAAGAGCCGTTTTCTCTCAGCCTTCAGTATATTTGTCAGATGGTATCGAGAGAAAAATCCACTGCATTCCAACAAGTTCTACATTGACCACTCACAGAAAGACCCTACACACCGGGTCCACCGCGGCAAAAGCAGACAAAAACAACAAGAAGCTTCATCAGGCAACAAGCTTTGCATTCAACTCAAACACATCCCGAAGCTTATTACAGCAGTTTTGATGCTCAACTACTTCACTGTAGGTACATCGCTCATCGAACAATTTCGTGGAGCACCCATGGGCTCTCCTTGCAGCCCGGCTCTATGCAACATAGTTGTAGCAGTGGAAGAGCAATGCTAGCATCACACATACAAACAACTGTTCACCAACCACAAACACTTTCCAAGCACCACAAACAACAATCAGACTTTATTTTCGCTACACGATATGTGGACAACCGTGTCCTTCTTTTACCAAAACATCTGACTCGACTGCCTCCGTTTGTACAGCTCACAGCTGCATCCTTTTACAAGCCACCGGTTCAGCTTGAAACTGAACCGGCAGACATTTTCCTGGGCTTTGCAGTCAATCCGCATGACGGCAGCCTCACTTACCAATGCAGTTTGCACAAGGCAGACATTTTACACCCCCAATCGGCCACATCCATGACAACACTCCGCAGCAGCTATCAAGCACGCACACGTATGGTCCGGCGAGTGACCACACCCAGCAGCAAGACCACACATGTCATCCGAGCCATGCGCGAGTTGTACATTGCGGCCGGATACACTGATCGACAGCTGTAGAAAAATAAACTGCAACGTTGCCTTTGCATTGACAGTCCGGTATGAAGCACTGCCTATTTATTCCTGTTGATTTACGCCGCAGCCATTTACAGGTAGTAACACTGGAAGCATGTACAAAAGTGCCATGACCGGCAGATTGCAGCCGCGGCACAAAGCGCTGAGCAGCCGACCGCATCACCCGACAATTTCTAAGCAAAGCAAACGAGGACGCGGCCAGCCGTCCACACGCAGCACGGATCAGCATACTGCCCCACTCCGATCTCAAATTTTGCGGGTGGCAGAACAACAGGAGGAGGAACTTCAGGATGACGAACAGCACCAGGCACCAATGGCAGATCCGGAAGACCTTCCTGATCCCCACGTTCCAGGGCCGACTACTCCGCCATATCCCCCTACGGCACCACCTATTCCAACAGACTCGACTGAGATTATTAGTTTGCTGCATCAGTTTCACAATTCGTTGCTTGAGTCGAACGCCAAGCTTGAACGCCTGATCCAACAAGCCACGACAGTCTTGACAACGCAACATGAAGCCACTACTGCAATCATGGCTTCGTGCAAACAGCAACTCGACATTCTCGAGAGCCTCATGAGGCAGGATAAGCCAGACTGGTCGTAGGTGTGGATTCAGTTGCGGAGCTATAAAAAGTTGATGCTGATTACGTGTGTGCAACATACAATCAGCTATCTGCAGTGTACATGTCAGTTTTTGGCCTCAGTCACACGCCCGTTGCCCCGCCACTTGGGAGCCATGAGTGATGCATCCAATCCGACAAACGAAGCGACTACAGCTTCACATATCATGGATGAATCACGACGGGAAGACCTCAACCAAGCAGTGTTGGAGATTTTGACCGAACATCGAGAGCGCGACTCCGACTCTGGCAGTGAAGCTTCCCCGTTTAGCGACTGGGCATTCCGTGATCAGTTGGCCGAGTTTATCCTTCAAACCAACAGACAAATTTCAGAGCTGAAGGACCGAGTCGAAAGACTTGAAGCATTACTTCAACAATACTTACAGCCAGCAACGTTGAAACACATTCGTGGCTTCATGTCTGGCGAAAATTATTGCGAGCGCATCATTTACATTTGTGACATGGGGTGCTATACGCCGTGAGTTGTTGCAAGCCATATGCATTGTACTTTGCTTGTGATCAACACACATCACTGCCCGCAGCCATGTAGCTTACAACGTTTTGTGTTATTATCATGGACCGATGCACTCGATCAAGATCCCCACGCGCATCAGAATGGAGATGGCATTGGGCCACCAACGGATCTTCATGGTGGCGGGAATATTTTATTGCCTCCCGGGAGTGGATACGCAACCACTCACAGCCACTTGATCGATGTGAAGCATCCTTTACCACTACTACACAGGATGCAAAAGCCAATACAACAACGCCTACATGCAACAAGAGGAAGAGATCTCGCACTCCATGAGTACCACAACTGAGTTGATAATTCAATGCACACTTGCTGCCTTCATCAGCCATCATACACAGCAAAGCTGTACGAACACCTCTTCTCAAGTGAAGATGTGGGATTCCGACTTAAGAGCGCAATTCAACAACTTGCGATGTGTGTTGCCAGGTCCAGGCTCTTTGAAGTTGAAGAATTGCGAACAACCTCCATGTAAAGTAATGTTACCTGACTATGCAACTTCTGTGTCATGAATCACGCCAACTTCATTTGGCTCAAGAATGAAAAAAGGCGCACTGAGTCGTGCTTCTGCGTTCAGGGTCAGGGTTCCTTTTGGGGTTTCCCTTCCCTTTCCTCCTTGTTCCTACCCTAACATAGTTGCTTCTGTGTTTGGGGTCGGAATAACTGGTTATCAGCCGTAGTGTTCGTTCTTCCCTTTAGGTTTGGTGAAGTCCTTCAGAGCGTAGCTCGCTCCATGGACGCTCCGGAACCAGACCGTGGCCCAGAGATTCTTCCGAGGCCACGTGGGATCCGAGCTGGGAAAAGTGCGGTACGTAAACGTAAAGCGTACCAGCAGTACCAGTTGAATCTTCAACCTTTCCGATACACTTCCTTAGACGACGTGCCCGTCCGCCACCAAGACGGCAGTCAGCGGCCGCTTTATACAAAACCGGGCTGGCGACCCATCTTTGAATCGGACAGCGAACCTGAGGAAGAATTGGTTGAAGTTGAGGTAGAAGCGGAGGAGACGCCACTCATTCCAAAGGCGTCAGGGGCAGTGCCGGGATATCACAGGATCCGCACGCCACCTGCTCCTCCTGCGCCGCCTGTGCGGCCGACGTCTTCGTCCTCATCGAGTTCAGTGGCGAAAGCACCTTCTCAGGGTCCATCGGCGAAAGCATCTTCTCCAGTGCCTCCCGTTACAGCTTCAGTTTCTGGACAACGGTTGGCCCCTACGCCGAAGGTGAGGATTACTCCCGCAGCGAAGACTGCGGCGGTGCCTAAGGTGTCTGTTCCGACTCCGCCGGCCTTTCCACCTGATCCTAAGATTACTGCTCCGAAGACTCCTCCCAAGAATCCACCGAAGCCTCCAGCGTCGAAGCAGAGCCAGGAGAGTCAGGCTGCAGTGATCCCCAAGGTGCCGCCAAAGTCAGCCCTCACTTCAGACCCTATCGTTGACCTGCCGAGGAGCGTCTTGTTGTATTCACCAGACACTTTTAACAGGTGCAACTTCAGAGTCGAAGATAGCCAGCGGCTTGAGGGCAAGGTTGTCGTGTTTGACTTTCACAACGTGATCGACAGATATTACTGGGCACCTCGCGTTGGTCAGCGGAAGCAGCAGTATAAGATCCCTTACCCGTCCGAAGCACCGGAGTTGCTTTCGGACGTTCAGGGTCTTCTCAGGCGTGTCCACAGAGCTGCAGAGGAGGCGGGAGCATTGGTGGTGATTTGCTCCCACATTTCGGAGGGATCCAGGAGCATCGAGGATTGGGCCTTGGACACCCTTCGGAACACCTTTATACAATCTGTTGGCCAACGTCAAGCTGATTTAGTCATCATCACAAGATCCCGTACAGGACGCGTCGGAAAGCTTGACATCTGTCGACGCCTCTTCCAACGGCCATCGTTGTTGATAATAGACGATAACACCGGGATCTGTGAGGAGTGGAACAGATCGGCTAACGCTGCTGCGTTTCACATCCAATTGCCTCGGCGGGAGCTGCCGTCGATTGGTCGGTCCTTTTCCTCGGTTTTCGAGGCGGAACCTTCCATTTTGAATTGGATCTCAGGCTGAAGTGCTCAGCGCGTGCATTCGGACTCGGTGTGAAAGGCTGCCTCGCGCCACCACCTTGTCCTCGGCAGTTTGGTTTAAGGTTTCTTTCAGGCTTCAGGGTTTCTGTATCTTGGTCTGTTAGGCGCATTGCGCCACTGACCGGGTATATCTGTGTGGTCTGATCGGCGCATTGCGCCACTGACCTGCCTTCCTGCCAGCGCACTTCCGTCATCATGTCGCAAT